GGGACGGCGTCACCAGGGTCAAACCCAATATCTGGTGAAGTGGCGGGGATATCTCGACTCCGAAAAGTCGTGGGAGTTTGAGGCCACTTCGGTAAGATTGCACAGTCGCCGTGGACGCTTATGCTCGGAAAGATCAGGACGTCCCGCGTCATCAGACGCCCCGCGCTTCCCGGCAATGATCAGGGAGGTAGAAGGGCCATGAGCTGAGCTCAAGCAGTGGCCCTGAGCTCTTGCGGTCGAAGACACAGAGCTCGCGGGAGCATCGGGGGTTCTGAACCCATACGTCGTGGGGCGACAATTCGAAGGAAGTCGACGGCGTGCCTTGAGTTTGGCAGACTCAAATTGGAGGTGTCGCCCCACACGCACATCCACTTCCTTGTGGCTCGACTGTAGGTTATACAGTGTGGAAAATTTCCGGTGCCGTTGCATACATCGCTCAATGAGCACTTCGTCATCTGTAGCGCGTTCGCCAGGGGCGAGCACCACTAGTATTGTTTGCATTGCAGGTACACGAGAGCCACCTCGTTGAGCACTCAGATGAGTGCGATAAGCTTTCAGCGAGAATTTTTTGTGGAATCAAGAAACGATCTCGAAGAGCCTTCCGTTTGGCAAGTTCATCTTCCGGTCTGGCCGACCCGATGATGTGGACGCGTAACGATCGAGTTACATCACCCTTTGCTTTCACAGCGGGATCCGCTGGGTGGAGGCCATATTCTACACGAGGGTCAATGACCGGCCATGGATGAGCGCGCTTTAGAGCCGCCCTATGGGCAGCTTTAAGCTGCCGTATCTGAGCCCCGTCGAGGTCATTGGTGATTACACCGCGTTCCTTGGTTGACGAGAAGTCAGGGAGCGAACATGGGGTCCACAAGGCACGAGCAGGGCTCGTATCACGCTGCTGGCGCTCGCCTTCCTCGTCATCCAATGCGGGAAAAGAAGTGTCAGACTCATAGTCGACCACCTTCAGATCCTCAGCAAAGTCACTCGTCATTGATAACGCGCGCAAAGCGCGACGTTCGTGCACATCGAGCCTAGGATGTACATCCCCCCGGTGCCGCGGACGCACTGTCCGACATCGCACCGCGTGCGGGGTTGGGCTCTGCCCGTGCTCGCTGTCAGAACCAGCGAGACTTGGTGACTTCCGTGTCGGGGACACACGGCTTATTGAGCAAGAAAGTTGTTTAATTCCACCGAATGAAGTTGCAGTGTCTAGCGGACACGCGAGCCTCGTTGAGGCAATAATCGATTGGAACTG